ACTGAGTCTGAGCAGGGGTCACAGGGCCGTCTCGGTATGTCCGAAACTATTCAACCCCTTGTTAAAGTCTTTAATACTAGTCAGACTGTGAGTGTTCCCACAACCCCTCCTCCAGCGCAGACCTGACGGGACAATGAGGCCTGAAACAAAACTGGAGTGTTTGAATGGCCGGTCAGCGGTGTGTGCTGTGTAGAGAGGAATGTGGACTGATCGCTGGATCTGAACGGAGCAATGTTACCCGAAGTGACCCAGTGAACCGTCATCTTTATAGAGCAAGAGAATAAACCTGACAGCTGAGTATACGAAACCTCAGAGAACTAGTGAGAGAGACAGAAGCTCTTTACTAGATGTTCTATTATATCTTAATACAGCAAATATAGTTATTTTGGGCTTCTGCTTTTCTTATTACTTTTCAGTTTAATTCAATTCAATTCAAGTTGAGTTGTATAGTGCTTTTCACAATAATTATCGTTTCAAAGCTGCATTACAATCAATTTATTAAAAGTTAAGGTTATTAGTTACCACTGATACAATATTAAAGGGACGGGAAAACACTAAAGCTATTATTGCGTACCAGTTTTTGTTGTCATAAATCCACCAGAGGCCGCTGTGTACACCTTTTCAGATCTTAAGTTTTTCTTCGCGAATGCCATTTGCACCTGTTGTTCACACGTAATCCACCAGAGGGTGCTGTGGACTGGCTGACCAACTAATTCCCCCACCCACCCCCTCTCTTAAACCCAACCAATAGTGTTTTTAAAAACACCTATTGACCCGCCCACAGCCTTCCCTAAACCCAACCGCCAGTGTTTTTTACAAGCAATGCTAAAAAAAGATAAGCTATCGTGGGCACCTGATTTTGACCACGTTATCAGATCTTACTACCTTCTCACTTTGTTATTTAAATTTGCCGTTTCTTTTACCTGCTTTCTGGAACCGTTCTTTGCCAGACTCAAACCCTGTTCTTACGGTCAACTCCTCTCTGCATCTGAAGTCTGCCAACATATGTGGCGAGCTACTGGGCAAACAGGTAACAGTGGAAAAGTCGTCCACACAGAGGTAAATGGTCAGTGGTAGCGCGAAAAGAAACAGAAGTCATCGCTGGCATTCTATTACCCGTAGCATTTGTTTTAAAGATGAAATGCAGCCATATGTAGCTCTGGCTACATAATTCGCCATCTCCAGAAATGTATAAGGGGTTACATTTTCACAATGAGCCTGGGTTGCTAAAACTGCTGGGTTGTTTAAGTTAAAATGTAGGTAAGTGTTGGGTTAAAAACCACTGAAAATCTAGTGGTTGGGATGGCCCATAATTTAGAGCATAAAATTCAAATCAAAATTATAGTGAAATTAACTATTTCTTTAAATATTTCTCCAGTTATACAGAGCAAGACAGAGCAAGGAACTTTTCACAGTATTTCCTGTAAATTTTTTTTCTTTTTCTGGGAAGTTTGGGGTCAGATTTGTTATAATTAATTTATTTAATAATTTAAATAAAAGTATTCTGTTCATCAAGGCAGCATTTATTAAACGTAAAAAAAGTTAAATTGTTAAATACTTATTTAATTAATATTTATTTATTACCTATTGTATGTAGTTTCAAATGAAATTATTACTCCAGTCATTATTGCTTTTATTACTAATAACATTAACAATATTAAAATGAGCAATAATAATTAATATTAAAGTGATTTCTGAAGGATCATGTGACTCTGAAGAATGGAGTATTGAAGCTGAAAATTCATCTTTAAATCACTGGAATAAATTATTAAATTCAATTATAAACTACTTTTGAACAGTTATTTTATAGTGCAATAACATTTCACAATATTACAATTTGTCCTGTATTTGATTAAATAAATGCAGCCCTGAGCAAGATAAGCTTATTTTAAGAAATTTAAAAATCCTACTGACCCCAAACTTTTGACCTTTGGTGTTTATAGTCAATATTATACTGTAATTACTATTATCATTAATCCAGTCTTTAATGTCACTGTAACATTGGAATTGAGGTACAACAGAGTTGAGGGTCCAAACACAGCTTATTTACAACTTAGTTAGGCAGGCAATGGCTAAACGGTAACATGAGGGAACTCTAAAAGCGTAGTCAAGGTCAGAGGCAGAGGTCAGTGCAGGCGGAAAACAGGATAAACAAAGAACAAAACAAAGGTCAGGAAACACGGCAAGACTGGACTAGGAAATGTTTCATAAAGTTACAGGTAAACAAGACTCAGCAAAGTATGTGTGAGAAAGGTGAATATAAAATCCAGTTAATCAGTCCATGCTGTGTGTCAGATCAGGGGGAATCAGGAACTGGTGTGTAATGTGCATGATGGTATTTGCAGTCCATTTCAGGGACAGATGTGTAGTTATCCAGCGATCTGCAAGGATTAGATCACTGGTAATCATAAAAGTCACATGATCCTGCAGAAAATATTTTACTAAAGGCTTACTTAGAAATCAAGGAGTATAAAGTTGAAAGTAGTTGTTCTATAATGTTTTTTTTATTATTATTATTATTAAGACAGTGATTGTAAATTAAAAATATAAATATTTGCAATAAATATATCAAAGTTATTTTTTTATTCAGTGTGCACCAATAGAGTTATTTCTTTTTTTATAGGAAAAAAAACTCCTTCCTCAAATGATCAAGGACAATTTGATTCCTCACGCTATAACCCATTTAACACAGAAATAAGGTCTATTTTCACATTACACATGATTTTAATCTGTCTCATCAGCTGCTCTCAGATGTCTGCTTCCTTACAAGTGAGCATTTATCAGTTTATTCTCTCACTTTCTGATTAGTTCATCCAGACACTAGGCCTTAATAAGACAAGACTTCATCAGCGGCTGAAGCAACTCATAGTGAGACCATGAGAAGCAGAAAAAAGCAGATAGCAATGCACAGCAGGGACATGAAGAAGCAAAATAAGGTGGAGACATAATGAGAAAAATATGACATTCCCAAGTTTTGAGCTAATTTGCCAAAGGGGATTTTGGGAGTTTTCCCATCGCTCAATATACCATTAAAAGCTGTAACACAGATGACAACAAAGATTTTCTTAATGAAATCTCAAAGAGGTCATACGATTCGATTCCATTATTTCATCCCATTATTTTGATAACTGGGCATACTAAAATAGGTTAACCTTCAAAAACGCTTTATTGTTCACAATAACTGAAGAACCAGTTTGTCTGAAATGCTCTCATTGAGTTCTGTTTTGTCTATAAAGCCCCTCCTTCTGGAAAAAACAAAGTGTTTTGATTGGTCAGCTGACGAAGTGCATTATGATTGGTTAAAATATATCTGTGTGCATCAGGAATGTAAATACCTTCATCATAATCATTAGTCTCAGCTTACAAGGCTTCAAAAGCAACTTTAAACATTAAAAATTAATGTTAATGATAAACGGTTAATGATACCATTGGTTTTGTATCAGTTTTTATCAGAAGAGTTGGAACTCAATTCAATTCATCTTTATTTCTATAGCGCTTTTACACAGTAGATCGTGTCAAGGCAGCTCAACATAGAAGTTCTAGTAAATTTAAACTGTGTCAGTCCTGTTTTCAGAGTTGAAGTTCAGTTCAGTTTAGTTCAGTGAAGAGCTGCAAGATTCTGGCTAAAATGAGAAAACAAAAATCATGATTTTCTCACGATTCTGTAGATGTAAAATAAAGCTAATTATGAGTGAGCTACTATAATTATTATTAATATTTCACAAACATATGGTAAAACAACAGTAATAATAAGATATGTACATCTACTGCTGGTTAAAATTCTCAGTTTTGAATAGACTTTGAATGGTGGACTTGAAAAGATAAAAATTTTTCCTGGTCATTAATGCACAGTAAAGTGATGACATCAGAATACAACTATTCATAAATCTGAAGTTGAATTATTACGCTTGCAATCTGTCTTTGACAAAATAATTGGACCATTTATTCAGGCTCGTGCACACATACGGCTCAACCTGTGCAGTGCACATGCTGCTTTTAGTCTTGGATAGGAAGTGCCCTTCCAAAACGATCAAAAGTGCCCCCGCGACACCCCCCCCCCTCCTTAAATATAAATTTGTGTATTTACCCTTTCATTGTCATTTGTTTTGTTTTGGGGGTTTTTGACTGAACTATAGTTTGTACCACCAAAGCATTTTCAGATTTCTTTTTTCCAATTTACGTTATGCCTGCCATTTTTGTTCGTGAAAGAGCCACGTTTGCCTTTGTTTTGGACCACTTGAAGGGATAGTTCACCCAAAACTGAAAATTCTGTCATCATTTACTGACCATTCACTTGTCACAAATCTGTCAAAGTTTCTTTATATTCCATTTAACACAACATGAAAAATGCTGAAAAATGTTGTGAATGTCATCATTGACTTCCATAGTATTTGTTTTTCCTACAGTGAAACTCAATGCGACACAGTGGCTCATTGATAATCAGAGAGCCGAACAGATCTTTTAATCCCTGTTGCTTTGTGCACATACTGTCTTGTTGATATGATTATACTTGTTACTATAGAGACATGTTGATACGTGGCTGTTAATCAACTCGGAAACCGCACTCCTACGTCACATTGCAGTGAATCTGCAAATGGGAAGGATTTGGATCTTATTTTAACGTCAGGAAATTAAAAAAAGAGACTTATTGTGTTTCTATAACCCCAATATAACTGTGGACACACTATACTTCCACACAGTTCTGTCCAAACAGCTAACTAAAGATGATTTTTATCCTAGGTGCCCTTTAACATAGCTAATGTGACAAAAGCATCATCCCATTCCAATGAAACAAAAGAGTACAATTTCCAAACATCAAATCCTAAAGTGTTAAATTCTGCTTAATGCCAGACACCAATGACAGCCACAATAGAAATGTAACCACATCATTCTTACAATTTTCACTTACACACACACTCATGCGCTTGACTGCTTAACTATGCAGTCTGCATCTTGAGCAGGTTTATCCTCTCAGCATGTGAACGGTGGGTGGTACGTACCAGCAGATGAGCCCGGCAGCAACAGCAGCCCAAGTCACACAGCAAGAGTTGGATTTCTTACTTTCCTCTTCCTCCTCATCTTTCCGACAGCAGCACAGGCAGCTCAGGTATATGGCCAAACACAGCAGGTTCACACCGAGCCCAGCCGCTGCTACACAGCCCAGGAAGATGAGCGACTGCATGGGGGGAAAAAACATGAGATATGGGTTTCTTTATTGAAAGAGACATGAGAGGGAAAAATCCTGCGCTCTTAAAATGAAATGGTTTGATGTAGTATGTTTGGCATTCATAATGAAACATTTCCCTTAGCATTCAACAGCCTAGTTATGAGAAACAGAATTCTGGAATATGTTCAGAGACAGGCATTGTAATGTTTGATTTACTTTTAACAAATGACCAACCGGATTTTTACATATGCTGCATATTGAATTTGATTATAAAATATATTATAATAAACGTAATTAAAATGTTATTAAAACTATATTTACAAAAAAATAATAATAAATAAAGCTAAAGGAGAGTGAACCGAATTATACATATACATATATATATATATATATATATATATATATATATATATATATATATATATATACATATACATATATATATATATATATACATATACATATATATACATATACATATACATATACATATATATATATATACATATACATATATATACATATACATATACATATATATATAAATATATATATAAATATATATAAATATATATATATATATATATATATATATATATATGAGCAATTCTATGAAAATGTCAACCTTGCCATGAAAAGAAAAATGTTTTCACCAAAATAGCGAAACCGTTTCTACATTTTTTGCACAGGCAAGTGTTTTACAGTACTTTAAAAATACTTAAAAATGTCTCTGTCAATGTTTTCAAACTATTATATTTGATTTAACAAAGTCAAACAAATGGCAATTTCACATCCGTCACATCCATAACGAAAAAGTGTCACATCCATAACAAAGCTTTTCCCTCAAAAATGCAAAAATGTCAAAATAAAATAAAATCAATCAGTTTTGTTCTATAAAGAGCCAACTCTTATCCTTTTGTTGAGCATTATTTATTTTGGGTTGTGCAGTTTAATTCACAGAATATCTACGAAATATGTTGTATACTGTAAACTCGCAGACTTTTTTTGTCACATCCATAACGCTTGTTTATTTTCCTCATTTAAAGTATAAAAATGTTCACAGATTGATTTTTTTTGATCCCATAACTCTGTGGTTAGTTGTTTTGGAAAATATAAACAGATGATTCAATATAATGTTAACGTATACTTTCTCTGCAAATTTTTTGTTTTGAATTTTTACTGCAAATGTCACATCCATAACGCTGGAATCAGCCATATATATACATACATATATACACACACACACACACACACACACACACACACACACAGACACACACACACAGTTGAAGTCAGAATTATTAGCCCCTTTGATTTTTTTTCTTTTTTAATAGAGCAAGAAAATTTTCACAATATGTCTGATAATATTTGTTTCTTCTGGAGAAGATCTTATTTGTTTTATTTTGGCTAGAATAAAAGCAGATTTAAATTAATTTTTAATCATTTTAAGGCCAAAATTATTAGCCCCTTTAAGCTAGATATTTTTTTCGAAAGTCTACAGAACAAACCATCATTATACAATGATTTGCCTAATTACCCTAACCTGCCTAGTTAACCTAATTAACCTAGTTAAGCCTTTAAATGTACGCTATAGAAAATTGTCTTGAAAAATATGTAGTCAAATATTGTTTCCTGTCATCATGACAAAAATAAAATTAAACCGTTATTAGAAATAAGTTATTAAAACTATTATGTTTAAAATTGTGTTAAAAAAGTTGGGGGGAAAAATAAACAGCATGGGGGCTAATAATTCTCACTTCAACTGTGTATATTTCTTTATTTCTTTATTTATTTTTTTTTCTTATTGATTGAAAAATTTAATTATTTTTAAGTTCATAATTCTTATAATTTTTTTATGTATCATTATCCAATAACATCTTACTGACTTTTACATCTCACTTAAAATGCATCAAATACTGCGAATAAAAAGGGTTATTTAAAAAAGTACAAAAAATACAACAAGCAGTTCATTCTGCTGGGATGACCCCTATATATATATATATATATATATATATATATATATATATATATTATTTGCAGTAAACTCTAAATTAAAATAATAATAATAATAATAATAATAATAATAATAATAATATATATATATATATATATATATATATATATATATATATATATATATATATATATATATATATATATAATATTATTATTATTTTATGTAGAGTTTACTGCAAATAAAATGGGTTATGAAAACTAATGGATACAATTAGTCCCTCCACCCAATTAGTAAAATTTAATAATAAATAGAATATTAACTCACAATGCAAAGAAGAAAATCCTAGGTTCAGTTTAAAGTGTCCATCTGTAGTGCCTGTGATAAGTTTGTGTTAAGGAGCCCATATTATGGGTTTTTGAAAATGCCCTTCCATGTAGTGTGTAACACAGCTCTAAGTGAAGTGAAGTATCCAGCTAAGGCTTAAATCTGAAAGTGTACAGTGTTTAAAACTGTTGATTCATCTATAAAAGAGTCGACTCGTAGTGCTTCAAACGAGTCGCCTTAATAACGAGTCATCAGGTGTTTCGCCATGACGTACTAACGAAACCAAGTTATTCACGTGCACGCGCAAACCGGGAGATTTGAATCCTGCGGCCCCGCCCTCTGACACAGAAACCCAGACACACACACACCCACAAACACACACACACAAACATGCCGGTCGATTGAAGTCACACTGCAGATGGATATTATCGAGTCTCTACCCAAAGATGAAACCTCAGCATTATAACCAAGCAGTTGGAAATTACTGGAAACTTCTGCAAACTACATGCTACAAAGAATACTTCATCGGCGTTTGTTAAAGGAAGGATCAGTAAAGAGTAACTTACTGATGGACGTCAGGATGGGTTTCTTCCTCCATTTTTCAAGTATAAGTACGTGCGATTAAAGTTGTTGCCTCGTTTACTCTAGCTTGCAAATGTATTTAGTTGTGATTTGTTACTTGTAACCGCGTGTACTGTATCAGGTTAACTCGCTATATTCTCTTAACGCGTGCAAAGTCACGTTAAAAAAGCGACGCGTGCTGCTTTGTTTATGGAGCTCCGCGGGGGATGGCAGTGTGTGTGTGTGTGTGTGTGTGCATACGTGCGTGTGTGTGTGTGTGTGTGTGCGCGTGCGCTGTCGTCTGGAGGTGTGTGTGTGTGTGTTTTTGTATGCGCGTGCTGTCATCCAGAGGAGGTTTAAGTGTTTGTGTGTGTGTTTGTGTGTGTGTGTGTGTGCGCGCGCAAGACGAGGGCAATATGTGTGTGTGTGTGTGTGTGTGTGTGTGTGTGTGTTTGTCTGTCTGTGAAAAGAGCAGAGTGAGACAAGCTAGAAGATCTCATCAAATGTTTTTGGAGTTTTTGCTCAATAAAATAGTTAGTCGTCTGTATTTACATTGACCCACTGGCAGCTAAAATCCACGCCTACACTATTAAGCATGTATGAACTGTGATTACTTTTATATTGCTGATTAGCTGTTTGGCATTTCACTCTGACTGAAGGCAGTCGACCAATTGCAACAGGCTGTCATTGGTCCAATCAGCGCAGATTAGCTTCGCGCTAAGGAGGGGTTTGGGAACAAATGAATCACTGGACGATTCATACTGGAGTCGCTGGGATAATTAGGTAAAAATAAATGCAGATTATAAGACCATGAAGGTGTTTTTTGACCTTGCATGCATATTAGACTGTTGTTGAAGACCCTTACAACCAAGATATGACCCTATTTCATGTATAATATGGGCTCTTTAATGTAGAACGAAGTTGTAGTTCCTGACCATACAAAGTCACGACCTCATTAGATGCTTTCCGAGCCCAGGCAACGCACTAACACGGTGGATATTTCCCGCTGCAACACTCTGTCATATAACTTAACAGAGTTTCACTTGATAGATCTGGAGCTATTTTAGTCACACAGCCCTTAATGGGGGCACTAGGTTCCACTCCGACAATGTTTAGCACCACATACACACTATTAAAAACAGGATACGATCTCTCAGTCTTAACTAGACTGAAAACCTTGACCCAGACAGTGACTGGAGATAAATATGACAACCGACGAGGAAGCACAATTATTCACCAAAGCCACACTCATATACACACACATAATGTCGTATCCCATCATGCTCTTGGCTCTAAAGGGGAAAGTAGGACAGCTATAGCAAGCAGCCCTCAGTCTATATTTGCTGCATCACCATCCCAGTTTCTTGCATTGTCTCTGTTGGTTATGTTCAACACACTCTCTTTCATTCTGTGGGTGGTGGGAAAGCCAAAGCCATCTGCTTCAGCCCCATCTATTAACTGCAAGACTAATGAGTCAACTACGATTCCAGAGGCGGCATTCATTCTCTAAGTGAAAGAACCTGGTTAGGAAATCACAACAGACAAAGATAAACTAGGTCCAATTTTTCATCAAATTACATAACGTAATGCATGTGAGCACTATATCTCAGGTTTTCAATTAAAATCCAAGAGGTCTGGCAACTTTTTTTTTTTTACTCAAGTGAAACTCCGATTAATACGTTTTTTGTTTGTTTTCTTAATAGTACTTCGCAAAAGAAGAAATACTCAAAAAAAATGTTGCTTGTTCAAACTGCTTATTTAAATTAGGGTAGGCCGATGTTGACCAATTTAGCATTGTACAATGTCTAATGTGAAACATCCCAATGAATGATGGCATCATCATTGTAGGTGACGGTGAATTAAATGAATGAATTATTATTATTATTTGTAGCCTACCGTTTCAACAACTAACCCGCATCGTCTTTGTTTTACCCATTAACAAATTAAAAACGAATAAAGATAAGTTAAACACAAATTACCACCTGTCAATCACTTTTTTTGCGGGACTCTGGCATGAATAGGCAGAGAGATTTGTGATGTTATAATGGCGTCTACAGAGTTAAAAAGGTGCACAACCAACAGCAACCAACCAACAGTATCTGAGGTTTTCGCTAAAATTACTAAGTACGAGCGTGCAAGAGACTGAAGCAGTGTAATGACGCTGTGA